CGGCAGCCCAGACCGCCGACCTCAATACATTAGAGGCCTTCTTCTTCCTCTTCAGATTGGCACCCCAACACATCAAAGAAGCTTCTTCTTCCCCTCACCCAGAAGCCTCGACTCCTGAAGAGCTAGCTCGCTCTGTGAGCCTCTCTCTTCCTCTCGCTCTATTTATCTCTCTCTCTCGCTCAGCCTATCTCTTCTCACTCTATCTCTCTATGTTCTCCCGAGAAATCCGAGTCCTCCCTCTCTCTCTCTCTCTCTCTCTCTCTCTCGTCGAAGTTTCTCTCTATCTGGTAAAGAGTCCTTTTTCAGCAGCTCGAAGCTGACGTGGTTGAAGACCTTTTTCTCGCCTTGTACAAAGTCAAGTGCATTCACCTCTGCACAGTTACTTCTCTCTCAAAGTTTTAAAAAAACATCTAAAAATATATGACAATTTGAAAAGGTGTATTTGCAACATTCTCTCCGATTCAATTAACGCAATATCATAAAAAATATGAAAATATGTGAAAAATATTTATGTATTTATTATCTGAAAAGAAAAAAAATGTATGTTTTTAACATTTTTAAGGTAGATTTTGTTTTTTCAAAGTAAAATTAAATATTTTGAAGAGCGAAAGTCAACTTATTAATCATGAAGATAGATAAATTGGTTGCACCTTTAATGAATGAGTTTGACAAGGTTGTTGGAAAAAAAATTTATGATGTGGCTCACTTATTTGAGCATCCCGAAGTCGTTGAAAATGCTATTAGAGATGCTCTAATCCTACACATTTAAGTTCTTTTATTTTCAATTTTACACAATATTAAACGGGTATAGTACAAAAGACAAATTAACTTTGAAATAGAGGAGATCTTGTTGAGCGCAATTATGAGGTGCTATGTTTGAATCTCAATCTCCAATAATTATATACTCCTTTTTTAAGTGCAATTTATTCGTGTAACTTAAGTGGTAAAGAGCATTTATCTTTGTAGTTGACGTCATATCACTTGTATAAAACAAAACAAAAAAGGGCAATTTACCCTATATGTTTTATGAGTGCATGATGAATTTTTAGGAGCATCAATAACATCTCTAAAAGAGGGGGAAAAAAAACTGACTAATAGCATGAGAAGGGTATTGGTTATTGTTTGTAGTAAAAAGTGGATGCGTTTTATCGGTAGCTCAGTATGATTAATATTGAGGGGCGCTTTCAAAGAAGGCATGGTTTATTTACAAAATTGTTGGATAAACTTAGAAGTACATGTATACTTAGACATTTAATGAGTCTAAATAGAATGACTCATTTTAAATTGCAACTTTTTATGTTTATTGAAAAGCTTAATACTATATATTTTTTTTCAAAACATAAAAAAGCTTAATACCACATATGTATGCATAAAAGTACCAAAACAAAATTGCCCACATTGTATTCAATACCACTCCAAACATATATCACAGATAATCAAATTTTATGCAATAATAAAAAAGTAAATCATATCAATCAAAGTCATGACATTTGGTTTATGATAACATTGTTGGATTTTGTTTGCTAAAGTTAAAATAAAAAAAAAGGCAAAATATTGACAATTTAAAATAGGGAGATGCACTAATATACCCAATATAGGAGCCCAAATTATAAAAATACCCCATATGAAATGGACTTTAGAAACACACCCAAAACTCATTTATAACATAATAAAAAGACTTTTAACTTCTTTTAAATTACAAAACTGCCATTGATTTCTCAAAACAAACCCAACCCCAAAACATATAAACAAGCCCAAAATACTCATTAGGACATCAAAGTAATTTAATAATCAAAATTAAATTCAATAGGGCCAATTGTCATTTTTTGGGTATTTTTTGGGTTTGTTTATAGAAATTAAATGGTGTGGGGTTTATTTATAGTTTTAGTGCTAAAAATGGGTATTTGACTAAATATCTCTTTAAAATATTCATTTTCCACAAACCAATAGTATAGTTGTGAATGATACACATATACATATATGTAAACAAGTACAATAATTCAAGATTGATTACCTTTATTACGAGAGCGGATCTCAATCCTAGTATTTCACAAATTGAGTTTCTCTTCAAATCCTCAGAGTTACCCTTAAAGATTCAATAGCTCAACAAATGTGAAGCCTCTAAAGGCATCCACACAGAAGACTAGTGTTAAGAAATTATGAGAGAGAGAGAGAGAGAAAGTATGACCAATAGGATTTCTTAACAATTCTTTGTGATATAAATTCTCTTCTATATGATTATATTTATAGGTAATAACTCAAAAACCTACGCCCTTGTGCCAAGGTAGGTAATATTGGATGGAAATACATGCATCCTCCCAAAAATTATTTATGTAATAATCTTTAATTTCATACTAGATACAGTTGTATGCATTTTTTATTGCATATAACCGTATCTAATAACGTGATACGGTTGTATGCATTTTTCATCTTCACCTGTATCTGCCATATCATCATCCTCGGGGCATGACTCTATGGGTGGCCATTTAGCATCAGGATCCATGTCATCATCATCCAAATAATAATTTTCCCCATTATTTTCTTGCCGTAGCGCATCATCATTATCTTTCTGGTTGGATTCTAATCTATTTGCCTCAGTTCTGATTGAATTTTCTATCTTTGAAGGAACTTCTGCATCCGTTCCTGTATCAGAATCGATTTTAGGAGTGATCATTTGATGTGACAGGAGAATTGAAAATGATCATGTTGCGATCTTACTATCAAAATTGGATTCCAATTGGGTTTGAGGTATAGTGGAGCACTCTCCAGCCTTCGAGATCAAGTCCCCTTGCTTCAAGGTGCGGTATTTCCTCCAAGTTTTATAGTCATCTATGTTTTTGGGAGGGGGATGCTTAAAAATGACCTTGTCTTGGGATTCTCGAACTTTAATACCTTTTCCTTTTAGTTTGATATCTTCCTCGATCACCGTTGTTGATTCTGATGATTGAGATGACTTTGTGTCCTTCTTAGGTACAACCACTTGGCTTTTGAGAGTTCGAGCAACCTGTTTAACTTTTTTGGAAATGCGAAATTGCCTTTGAGTTGCCTTTTCTGAGTTTTATTTAACTCAAAAGAAGGTTTTCCATTCTTCCCGACATCATATCATCTCCCCTCAATAATTGCAGCTAGTCTCATTTCTTCATAAGGGGTAAGCATGTTCTTCTTTTCTGGTATTGTAACCCTTAGTGAATCAGAATCAATTTTAATCTTCGGATGTAAAGTCTTGGGTTGCCATTTCTTGGTAGGAAGTTTGCAGATCTCTCTTTTGGGTGATAACCGCCTACGGTCGAACCCTGTAGGCCTATCAGAACCTAGCCTATCAAACACACTCGATGCTTTCTCCTTATGCTTAAGGTTGTGAGGACCATAGGCATCTTTATGTGGTTTCATGGAATCTGCCATGAGTTTATCCTCCTTCTTCTCGAGTACTTGGTCTAGCTTTTGTCCTTGAACTTCAATCTTTAGATCACATTCACATTTGCACTTGCTGCATAAAAACACTCCGGCCACTATTAAAGCTTTCGACCATGTAGGTTTCATTAATCTTGGTAAATCAGTATCTATCTCCACATTTATTCTTCTCGATCTAGCTAGTTGAGATTGACCATGTTCACCTTAGGTGCGGGGAGCGGATTATGATAAATCATCATATTCTGTGCCTTTTTGCCAATAATGAATATTTTTGTACTGATTGCTTCTTCCACAAAATCGCGGAATATAACACAATTAATCGTGGGGTGAGACCAAACATTATGCCATTTACAGTATTGCCTTACTTTTATCTCCTTTGACTTTGGCAATTTGTGTTTGAGCTCAATAGCTTTTTTGGCAAGTAACTCATCAAACAAAGGATCTACCTTGAATAAATCAAATGAGTATACTTTATTGGCAATTAGCTTATTTGCAGTGAAGCTACTAGTAGGCACCTTCTGATCTTTGGTTGATTTGACTAGGGTTTTGCAAACTATTGGTTCCTCTATACCACTGATTTCAATTTGGTGAACTACAGTGGGTGTTTTGTAGTAGGTTCCCTTGGATGAATTTCACAATTCTTCATATCTGGTACCTTTATCTGCCAATTCTGTGAGGTATCCGAATACAACACCATCAAACTTCTTCTATAAGGGAATTCTCGAAGCTTTCCGAGCCATCAAAATGTACTGCCTCTCTTCCAAATGAATCTTACACTTCATTTTGAGCTTTCGGAATCTTGGAATTAAGTCTTCACGTATTCACTCTCTTGTTGCTTGAAGTTAGTTATGTCATTGATGGTGATTTCTAGTTCCATTACATAGAAATAGTCATGAAACACATTTTCCATCTGCTCCCAAGTATGGATGGAATTAGCTGGCAGGTTGGTGTACCAAGTGAAAGCTTGACCAGATAGTGATCCACCAAAAAGTTTCAGCTTAAGCATATGATTATTTTCAATGGCCACACATTGAGTGGAGAACCTTCAGATATGTTCAAGAGTTGAAGCATAATTGTCCTTTCCATTAAACAATGTGAAAATGGGAACTTTGAACCCTTATGCGAGTTTTAATCCGTCGACAGGATCTGGATAGGGATTTCTATAAATTGGTCTTTCATGCCTTCTTACTTCCGGTCCAGTCATCTCAATAATCATCCTTATGATATAATCTCTATCAACTGGCATCAATTCATGATAAACTTTTATTTATTTATTTATTTAATATTGTCATATTAAGTTTCGCACAAAACCTCAAAAATCTAAAAATCCAACTCTGAGTAAGACCATGTATATGAAAATAAAAAATCTAAACTTTTGCATTGCATGATGGGTTTAATTGATTTAAGTTAATTATATAGTGAACTGGCAAATACTGTGAGTTTAAAAAATATGTAGTAATTAATGAAAGAAGATTAAACACACCATAATCATTTATTTATAATGATTTACTACAGTATCACTTTATACATTGCATGGTAAGATACATAAGTGACTTAGTACTACATAGAGTTATTTACACTAACACCTCATGAGGTTTTAGGCTTTTTCGCAAAACTCATTTTCATTGATTTTTCATCAAAAGATTGATGATTTTATACAAAAATAAAAATTCTCCAAATGACGAAGTTGGCCTTTGAGATTAGATTGTATATACTTCATTGAGTTTAATTTTGTCATTTGCATAACAATCAACTAAATTTTTTTTATAAAAACAAACTGAAACAAGACTTGTGTTTTTCTTCGTCTTTTCTCTTTTCCTTGTTTGATTGGACATTGTTCTCGTCTCTTCCCTCTCTTTTCATGCCTCTTTCCCCTAAGCTTCCTTGCATTTTCCCGACCTTCAATCTTAGCCGTCCAGCAGATCGTGTAGCCAGCAGCCACAGAAAGCGACCCCTGGTTTTGGTTGCTTCCAGAAAATTACCACTGCCCAATAATATATTCATCTGTGCTGCAACACACAAACCACTGCCCAGAAAAAATAATTAATTATGAAATAACTTCTTCTGCTCAAGGGTTCAAGGAACAAGTCGGATCGGAAGGCCAACTTGTGCATAATTTGTAGTTGGTCTGATCTTGAACCAGTATCAATTAATGGATGCCAGGAAAGCCCATAAAGCCTCCTCTTCATCCTCACCATCCTCCTCATCAAAACGTTGGAAGTACCAAGTGTTCTTGAGCTTCAGAGGTGAAGACACACGCAAGGGCTTCACAGGCCACCTCCACGCCGCATTATCTGATGCCGGAATCAGCACCTTTCTTGACGACAACGAGCTAGAAAGAGCGGAATTTATAAAAACCCAACTGGAGCAGGCAATCAACGGGTCCATGATCTCCATAATTGTCTTCTCGAAGAGTTATGCCGATTCCGCTTGGTGTCTTGACGAGCTGGTGAAGATCATGGAGTGTAGAGAAAGATTGGGGCAACAGGTTATTCCATTGTTCTATAATGTTGATGCTTCAGATGTCCGGAAACAAACCGGTTGTTTTGCACAAGCATTTGAGAAACACGAAGCGGGCATCTGTGAAGGTAAACATGAGAAAGAAAAGGTACAGCGGTGGAGAAATGCTCTCACTCAAGCTGCAGATTTGTGTGGGGAAGATCTTAAAAATGCTGACAACGGGTAATTACTAATTTCTTGTTCCTTGGATTATCATCTCCATACTTGACAACCATATGTTTTCTGTCCTTTTTGTTTTTGTTTTTTGTTTTTCCGACTATGTTTTAAGTTTTAACTATGCATTCTTTCTTTTTGACTTTGAACTTTGTTGAGAAGTCAACTAAATCCCAAAATATTAGGGACTGAGTGATTAGCCAAATTATATGTAATTGATTATACATGATCTGCTTTCCTTCATTAGTCTCTTGATTGTAGGAAACCTGTGTATAGATACCCTTGACACTGTAAAGAGAAAATCATCTAGTAATCAAATATTCTTCCCTTGATTATAATTTTACATGGTATCAAAGCAGGGGAAATCCTAGCTCTTGTTTTTTTTCTCTTTGCCGTGCTCTTGTTTTCTATTTGCCGTCAAAATCCCAGCTTCCTCATTCTTTGTCTTTGTTAGCTCTCTGCCATGGCTAACGACAAAGAAATTTAAACTTCGTCCAAGGATGGAAACAAGTCTGATGTTTCCAACCCTCGTTTCATTCATCACTCTGACCATCCTGGCATGGTTCTTGTATCCAAGCCGTTGAATGGAGACAACTATGGGACATGGTGTCGATCCATGCGAATCTCCTTGAGTGCCAAAAACAAACTTGGTTTTGTTCATGGCACCGTCACGAAGCCCTTGAAGAAAACCGATCCTGATGAGTTCTCTCTTTGGCAACGTTGCAATGATATGATCCTATCTTGGATCTTGAATTCCCTTGATCAAGACATAGATGATAGTGTCATCTACTCTGACACTGCTCATGATATCTAGGAAGATTTCAAGGAGCGTTTCTCTCAAAGCAACATTCCTCGAATTTTCCAGATCCAACGTGCATTGCCTCCTTTAAATTTGAGACCTTAGTTTGCAAGTTTATACTATTTTTCACTTTACTAGACCCCGTTGTCATTTCTTATATTATATCCATTAAGATCAAAGCTCAATTAGGCATAACCAACAAAAAATATGTGCTTTGATTGCAAACACAAACTATAGGGCGTAACATGGTCCAATACTATTAATTATACCTTTTGGTTAATACATACACGGATTTTCATGTTTGTAAATCATTTTTCTAACTCGGTATCTTTTGTTAACAGGGAACTAAAAAAATTGAAGGAGTTGCTCTGCATTGCTCTTACATGACTAGATTCAGTGCACAAGCATTTACCAGCATGCAAAAGCTGAGGTTACTCCACCTCAGCGACGTAGAGCTCACTGGAGAGTACAAAGATTTTCCCAAAAAGTTAATGTGGTTGAGCTGGGAGGGATTCCCTTTAGAGTCCATACCAGATGACTTTCCTATGCAACCAAAACTAGTCGCTTTAGACCTGCAGTATAGCGGCCTCAAAATAGTTTGGAAGGATTGCAAGGTATAATATTCTCAACCTAGTTGTTGTTGGTTCTTTCCTTCTTGTTCACCTTCTCTTCATTATTTTGGTTTAATTTCTGTATCAGAGACCTTCCTTTTGGATTTTAATTTCCATTCTAATTTTGTTTTTGTGTAACAGTTGCATCAGAATTTGAAAATCCTTAATCTCAGTTATTCCCTTGTGCTAACAAAATCACCAGACTTTTCAAAACTCCCAAATCTCGAGGAATTGATATTGGAAGGCTGTAAGAGTTTGTCTAAGGTTCACTCATCCATCGGGGATCTTGGAAGACTTTCTTTGGTAAATCTTGAAGACTGCCAAAATCTTCGTGCAATCCCAGATTTACCAACAAATTTGAAAGGCTTACATTGTCTTTTCCCAAAGATTCCATCTTCTTGGCATACACCCATTTGCACCCAATTGCTTTCTTCCCCTTTAGTAACTGAACCAGCTTCCAAGTCTCATTTTTATGAAGAGATTTATATGTCTCAGCCAGAAGGTTTTAAGGTTGCTGGCAAGGAAAATTGGGTTTGCAAATTGCAAAAATCATTGTATGGCTTGAAGCAGTCTCCAAGACAATGGTACAAACGATTTGATCGGTTTATGATCGGGCAGA